TTTGGTTTTAAAGTAAATCGTTAGTTGTATTTTCTACAGACGTCAATTGTATTTTGCATACAGACAAAAATCATAAAATACAATTGACGATTTACTATAAAACCAAAAAAAACGGCCAACCTAATCATGAAAAACTCTCCGGACACCAAGCCTTAAAGGAAATCAACGTCGTCTATGCCTTCAAATGCCCACTTCGGGCCTGTAAGCCCCAAAGAACTCTGTATATAGGCAAGACAACAACGTCTCTTTCCAGGCGATAGACAATGCATAAACAACAGGGCCCCATCAAGGAACATATAATCTCCTCTCACAACCAGACCATCACGAGAGAAATCTTAACAAACAACACAGAAATCATCGATAGATACAGCGATAGCAGGAGGCTCGACATCTGCAAGGCACTACACATCAAAAAGTCAACACCAGCAATCAACAGCCAATTAATGCACTACTACATTCTACCCACTTCAAGGCTCCGAACCAATATAGAAGCATCATGGGCGAATAGGCCTTCTGCAGTTACTTCCATTCTTATGTTTTTATACCCATTGGTTCGTGTTCTATCTTGTGTAAATGTCAATCACCTCACCCAAATGCGAGTATAAGTACGGATGTATTATGCGTGTTTACAGGTTACAGTTGTGTGTGTAAATTAAAGTCTTTGAAAATGTAATAAGTTATTACGAAATGCGTTCAGGCGTCAGACTAGAAATAAAAACACAAATTTTGGAGAATTGATTTTTCAATTACCGTCGACAGTGAAAAGAAACAAGAAATATTGAGAAAATTCGTGTTAGAATTATTAATCTTGCCTTTCCAGTCATATTCAGCAACATATGTTTACAAGAAAGACTGCTACCAAAATATACTTTTATATATATATATATATATATATATATATATATATATATATATATATATATATATATACATATATATATATATATATATATATATATATATATATATATATATATAACTGAAAACTCACACCCAGAAGTGACTCAAGTTTTCAGTTGTATATAGTCCTGGGGACCATTCAGGCTTGTTTGCATATATATATATATATATATATATATATATATATATATATACATATATATATATATATATATATATATATATATATATATATACATATATATATATATGTCGTATCTAGTAGCCAGAACTCACTTCTCAGCCTACTATGCAAGGCCCGATTTGCCTAATAAGCCAAGTTTTCCTGAATTAATATATTTTCTCTGATTTTTTTCTTATGAAATGATAAAGCTACCCAATTCACTATGTATGAGGTCAAATTTTTTTTATTGGAGTTAAAATTAACGTAGATATATGACTGAACCTAACCAACCCTACCTAACCTAACCTAACCTATCTTTATAGGTTAGGTTAGGTTAGGTAGCCAAAAAAGTTAGGTTAGGTTAGGTTAGGTAGGTTAGGTAGTTGAAAAACAAATAATTCATGAAAATTTGGCTTATTAGGCAAATTTGGCCTTGCATAGTAGGCTGAGAAGTGCGTTCTGGCTACTAGGTACGACATATATATATATATATATATATATATATATATATTGCGGCGAGGTGGTGGCTGACAGGTACGGCCACTATGGCTTACTCTGCCAAAGCACAGGGGGATGGCACTCGAGGCACAGTGAAGTTAACGACATCATCAAGAGGAGCCTCACCACAGCTGGATGCCCAGCTGAAAGAGAGCCCCGTTACCTCCCGTTTCTGCCCGAAACGCTGCGCGTACTAGTGGCTTTACAAGAGTGCAATTACTGTACTATGCTATGTATTCTCACAAACCCAATGTACCTTCTTGTATATAAATAAATAAATAAATAAATAAACCTAACGCCCCGTAACTCTGATGCTCTTATTGGTCGCCCGGATGGTATCACAGTGAACCCCTGGAAGAATGGCAAGCAGTTGGTATGGGACTACACGTGCGTATCAACCTTGGCTAACACCTACATTAACCTCAGTGTTGCACAACCAGGTGGCGCTGCCACCCACAGGGAAGCAGCCAAATCCCGTAAGTATAGAGAACTGGATCACCACTATAATTTTGTCCCCATTGCTTCTGAGACACTTGGCGCCTGGGGTAAAAGTGCTACCAGTTTTTTGAAGGAACTGGGTTCTAGGCTCATCGAAACAACAAGGGACCCTAGAGCTGCCAGCTTTCTTTTCCAGCGCCTCAGCGTGGCGATACAGAGGGGAAATGCGCACTGCATCCAGGGTTCCTGCCCGCCATCTGAGTAGCTGGAGGAACTCGACAACCTATGATAACCATCTTTGTAACCTATATGTAACTCCTTTTTTGTAACAAAGTTTTATACATATATATATATATATATATATATATATATATATATATATATATATATATATATATATATATATGTCGTACCTAGTAGCCAGAACGCACTTCTCAGCCTACTATTCAAGGCCCGATTTGCCTAATAAGCCAAGTTTTCATGAATTAATTGTTTTTCGACAACCTAACCTACCTAACCTAACCTAACCTACCTTTTTCGGCTACCTAACCTAACCTAACCTACCTTTTTCGGCTACCTAACCTAACCTAACCTATAAAGATAGGTTAGGTTAGGTTAGGTAGGGTTGGTTAGGTTCGGTCATATATCTACGTTAATTTTAACTCCAATAAAAAAAAATTAACATCATACATAATGAAATGGGTAGCTTTATCATTTCATAAGAAAAAAATTAGAGAAAATATATTAATTCAGGAAAACTTGGCTTATTAGGCAAATCAGGCCTTGCATAGTAGGCTGAGAAGTGCGTTCTGGCTACTAGGTACGACATATATATATTATATATATATATATATATATATATATATATATATATATATATATATATATATATATATATATATATATATATATATATATATATATACTAAATAACAAAAACTGCAATCACACACAAAACATTAAACTTTGTAAAAATATTATTAACGTTTGATAATTTACAGTTTCTGAATATAAATACAATAATTCCAGTCATGAAATAACTACAATAATTAGCTTATTTAATTACTATAATTACTGACTAGAAAATATAACTATTGTAAAGAATCTAAATCCTTAGTATAGATCTATCTTGAGATGATGATTTTCGGGGCTTTAGTGTCCCGCGGCCCGGTCCTCGACCAGGCCTCCACCCCCAGGAAGCAGCCCGTGACAGCTGACTAACTCCCAGGTACCTATTTACTGCTAGGTAACAGGGGCATTTAGAGTGAAAGAAACTTTGCCCATTTGTTTCTGCCTCGTGCGGGAATCGAACCCGCACCACAGAATTACGAGTCCTGCGCGCTATCCACCAGGCTACGAGGCCCCTGATCGGGTAAGTTTAAAACAAACAAATTTTTTTTCTCAAAATCAGTCTTAATTTTTTTAATTCAACACAGCTGTATAGATAAGCGTTTATGTAAACCACATATTTATATTATTAGTGGGTACTCTGGTACTCTCGTCAGTGGGGATCTTGCTATTGAGTACTCTTGGAAACTTGCTATTGAGTATTCTGAGAAATTCGATACTGAGTATCCTGCAAACTCGTAATTGAGTAGTGTGAGAATCTCGTTCTTGGGTACCCTGTAAACTCGTAACTGAGTACTTTGAGAATTAGTGAGTATTATTACTCACCATTAGTGAGTATTCTGGGAGTCTGGGTAGTGAGGCGGTGCCCAGGATTAAGATTCATGTATACAGGAGTTGAGAGTTGGAGCAATAAATGCTAAGGCTATGCTGATCTATGCTAAGTCTGTTTACTGTGGGTAACACCCAAGTTACTAAATCTTGAAGCCATTCATGCTAACTCTCGAGCTTCTTGAAGCACCTCCGCTGCCCACTATCGTTAGTACACACTCACGGTACGCACCACCAGTACTATCTGACAGTACCGATTGGATAAGATTCCATTGGTAATGCGCCAAGAAATCAGGGGAAGAAATGGGAAATAAATTTTCCCTGAAATCTTTCCTCTCAACAGCGTTTCATTGCAAGACATCAACAGAGAGCAACAACACCTGCTAACAGTAGCTTACTTCCTTTGATAAATCAGGACTCTAGTGAACATGATTTAGAATTGGTGATCTATTTTTTGCTGGCGATGTTCTTTAATGGGAAAATAGGGATGAACCTATTACTTAACACTGGTGTAGTTACAGGAAAGGGCAGGGGGAGGGGTCTGAAAGGCGCAGTTGGATCACAACTGAATGATCCGGGGGTTCGATTCCAACGGCACGTTTCCTTTCACCTGATACCAATGTTCACCTTGCAGTAAACGGATATTTAGGAATTAGTCGACTGCTGTGGGTTGCCTCCTGAGGAAGGTCGCCCTCAGGGGGACTTCAATTAGCCTTAACAAACCTCATGTCCCTGACAAGGGGAAAACACAAATGGTACAGGATTCGTCAATCATTATACGTATCCAATAACGAAACCTGTACATCTTACAACGATTATGGCGGCTGTCTGACTATATTTAACAGTTTAGGAGTTCGAAAGTTTGCAACCAAATATTATTATTGCAACCTGTCACCTGGCGAGGCTCGTTAACGCGGCGGCCGTCTGACAAGATCCATTCATCGATTTTAACCTATTAAAAATAGGTTTATTCCCAAATATAAATTAATATTATTACTGATTAAAGTTGTATGTATTGTTCAAGCTGTCCTGAGGCCAGACTCGTAGGGCTTCAAAGCTCATAAACTCTTTAATAAATATAAACTATGTCGTTATGATTGGAAAGATATACAGGTTTCGTATGCCAGCAAGTAAATGCTTGTTAAATCCCAGGTACAAACAGTGCGTGGGGTGAGGGACGGAGGGCCTGAGATGGGGTGGAGGTGCCGGGGGGGGGGGGGGGGGGGGGGGCGGGGTGCGGAGGTTTGTAGGAGGTACTTGGGAATTAGGTTTAAGCCGGTAGGCCTATGTTACCGTGGCTCCCGAAATTCTCCACAATGGCGACATGTCGCCTACTGTTACGACGGTGCTGGCCGACTGTGAACAGTGGCTAGCACAGTTATCAAATACAGTCCTTCCACTGTCGTTCCGTACAGGTATATTTATACAGTATGCTGTATTATATACAGTATGCAGTATGATGCTCAGCACGACTCAACCTGTCCTCTTAAAAATAACGTCGCTTTTGGCCGTTTGTCTGTATGGCCGATAGTGAACGTAATTTGAAAATGAAAAAAAAATTAACATATATTTGGGATTTTTTTTTTTAACAATAGTTAGTTAAGTGTCCTCTGATAGGTTAGGTGGGCAGGAAATTCTCATAAAGTTTCAAAATGTTATGAAAAACGTTAATTGAAAGTTTCCTCTTCAAACCTTTCCGAGTAGGCCGGACGACTCAAACAGAAAACGGGACAGTACGTCACTTTTATGAGTCGATTTCATTTCAAATTACGTCTACTTTTGCCCATAGTGCGCATACGAGCCAAAAGTGACGTTATTTTTAAGAGGATGGGTTGCAGTATTAGCTAATCCCAAAACCTGTCTATCGGCTGTCTATATGAATCCACAAGCCTTGAAGTTGCTATTGCACCTGCCTGGCCTATTGCGCACCCCTTACGAAACCTGTACATCATTCCTCAATCATGGCAGCTTTGTTTACATTGTTACGGCCCTCTTGGGTCGCAACTTGGTTCTTTCTCTGATGTTGTTAGACGTAGAGTATCCGGCCCCAAGTTAGTAGTGGCTTTCAAGGGGTGTGTTCCGTAACGCAAGTAAATTAAAGGGGAAGGGATACGATTACACAAAATTAAATATATAATTATCACCATAAATAAATATAAATTATCACACGGGGGGGTATAAACACTATAATATACAATATGGTCTCCTCTGAAGACGCGGAGTGTTCCACGGTGCTCAATGATGCTTAGCCCTTGGTCCTCTTGTGGCCTCACGATGAATCCTTCGATTCTCTCGAGTCTACCCTGGCCACAGGCCAGCCAAACCACAGTTCCACTGGGGGCACCGTCGTGGAGGCCGTCAACCACAAATTCAGCCTGTAGCTGGCTGGTTCCAATCAGTTCCGCTGGTTAGGCCACTCCACGACCGATACTAGGGTTGCGAGCCCTAGGCAGGAGCCTCGTGTGATTTCACAGATCACTCTCCTCACCACAACACCCCAGTGGCTAGTCTTCTCCACTAGTCAGCCCCGGGTACGACAATCCCTGGTTCTGCCACCTCACAGGCAGGCTAACACAACAGTGTTCATCCGGGGGGGAGGGGGGGTGACTCACAACTTCAGCGGCAAATGCGTGGAGGTTCTACGGCTGCCTTGGGTAGACTGCTCCAACGTCCATTACAGCAGTCCCAGGTCGACTCTGTAATCAGACACGTCATTAGTACTGATGACACTCTAGGGCACCTCACTCACAGGCTTAGACACAAACGCCCACCTATCCACTCCATAGATGGCGTTGCTGTCTAAGCGTCACCTCACCAGAGGTCAGCAGCGGCTGTGTTATGAGTTGATCAGGACGGGAAACTAGCCCTTTTGGCCGGTATTTCCTGTCCTCACTAGATGGCGTCGTCCATTTGGAGGGGGTTTCGGGAGCTGACCCACAGATGGCGCGGTCGTCACTGCTCCATGCTCGGATGCTGGGCTCGGGTCCGTAACATAAATTAACAAATTTATGAATTCCGAACCACTACGAAGTTCTTTATAACAATAATAACCTTAGGCTGTGAAGTTTCCAACCTCGTAAACTGTTTATAAGACGTAAACAAAGCCACCATGATTAAGAAAAGATGCACAGGTTTCGGAATCCTTGACTGGCCCTCAAGGTATGTCCGCACCGGCCGAGACCAGCACGACGTGACGCCTAACACCGTTCCTCATAGATCGCTGTTAATCCAGGGGATTTTTTAGCGATCAATGCTAGGCCGTCCAATCAGAGAGTGAATGGGAGATTACCGACAGAAAATCCAGCAAATCCCGGGATATTGGAGACGTCTTCAGTCAGCCAATTATTTGTGTTTACGGGATACGTTTAGCAGAATTAGATGAGGGAAAAATAATGTATATCATTCTATGCTCTGCAACACATTTGCAACGCCCACAAGATGAACAAATATACAAGGGCGGTGTTGAGGGTTCGAACCTACGTCCGAGAGGATCCCAGACGCTGCTTTAATCCCACAAGATGTTTGATCTTCACTCTGCGAGCTGCAACCTTCGAAGGAGACAATACTCACACTGAATAAAGAGTGATTTGTAAGCAATTATTTTCGGTGTTTTACCAGTCTTTCTACACAGTAAACTGCCTCTTGTACACAGTAAATTAACAAACAATCATCAAAACATCAAACAAGAAGGAAGGACAAAAGCAGGATATTGATGCAAACAAAGACAAACATCAGAACAACAACACCTCACTCAACCCATTGACTGCTTACCAATATTTTCTGTCACGTAAGAAAAAAAAGGGAAAAAAAAAGAAAGTTTGCAGAGGTCTTAAAAATGTGTCTACGTGCTTTGGCGGCGATGAAGGTAGTTAGTGGGGTTGAACATCGAGACGAGGGATGGGAGAGGGGATGTGGGAGGGAAGGAAGAGGGGGAGAGGTGAGAGAAAAAGAGACGGGAGAGTAGGGAGACAAGAGGAAGGAGGAGAAGCAGAGGAGGGGATGATAAAAGAGGATAAGGATGAGGGGTTTGACAAACTATCTCAAGAAAAAAATTCATATATCCATCCGAAGTCCACTAGCTTTTCAGAATAGTTACAGCACCGCTCCTGTGCCAGGTAAGTCCACTACGGGCTCACCATAGCCCGTGCTACTTGGATATTTGTTCCCAGTAGCTGAATCTTAAACACAACAACTAGCTTTTTTCGACAGTGTGGAGATGGTGATGATTGTGGTGGTGGTGACTGCTGTACTGGTTGTGGTGGTTGTGGTGGTTGGGTTACTTACCTAACAGTGACTAGTAGGAATTGAGATCGAGGTCTTATATCCCGCCTCCAAACCTTGTTATACCTGTTGTATATAATAAAATTCACACCGTTCGAATTTCCAGTCGAATCTGGCCTTCATGTTGTGGATGGAGGTGACTTTCACAACTTCTTTTTCAATTAATTCCACTTTTTTGACCACTCGCGCAGGATACGAGTATTTCCTTGCATTTTTTTGACTCATATGACCTCGTTAATTCCTCTCAGTATTTTGGATATTGTGATCATATATCCTCTGCTTCTTGTATCATCTAGGGTTGTGATATTTAGTTCTCTTAGTCGTATTTTGGTAACCTTGTTGATGAACTCCAAGTTTTTTAGGCATGACTTTCTACTTGTAAATCTATGCTGAACTTCTGTTATGAAGCTTATTCTCTCCGGGTCAATCCCTGACCGTCCAAGTGGTTGGGCACCATTCCTTTTCCCCCGTCCCATCCCAAATCTTTAGCCTGACCCCTTCCAAGTGCTACAAGTGCTATATTCCAAGTGCTGTTTCTTTAATGTTTCCCTTTTGTCCTCTAACCATCAAAAAGTTCCCCACCTACTTAATAAGTACAATTAAGGTGCTCTCAAGTATAGAATGTTCAAACACTTGAATAGGACAGTGGTAAAGGCTTTATGCACTCCAATATAAAAAATCTGTCTAAATCTTCCTTTCCTGTCCTTTTTTCTCCCTATCATTGTTTCTTTCACAGAATTCCAAGAGTTTGTCGGATAGAAATTTCTTTCACCGAGCTCGTGTTGGTGATTTATTACGAAGTTTATTTCGTTTAAGTTGTTCCAGTATTGTCTTCATTATTATTCTCTCTGATACTTCGCCAGGCATGCTTGTGTGTGTGTGTACTCACCTAATTGTACTCACCTAATTGTGCTTGCGGGGGTTGAGCTCTGGCTCTTTGGTCCCGCCTCTCAACCGTCAATCAACTGGTGTACAGATTCCTGAGCCTATTGGGCTCTATCATATCTACATTTGAAACTGTGAATGGAGTCAGCCTCCACCACATCACTTCCTAATGCATTCCATTTGCTAACTACTCTGACACTGAAAAAGTTCTTTCTAACGTCTCTGTGGCTCATTTGGGTACTCAGCTTCCACCTGTGTCCCCTTGTTCGCGTCCCACCAGTGTTGAAAAGTTCGTCCTTGTTTACCCGGTCGATTCCCCTGAGGATTTTGTAGGTTGTGATCATGTCCCCCCTTACTCTTCTGTCTTCCAGTGTCGTGAGGTGCATTTCCCGCAGCCTTTCCTCATAACTCATGCCTCTTAGTTCTGGGACTAGTCTAGTAGCATACCTTTGGACTTTTTCCAGCTTCGTCTTGTGCTTGACAAGGTACGGGCTCCATGCTGGGGCCGCATACTCCAGGATTGGTCTTACATATGTGGTGTACAAGATTCTGAATGATTCCTTACACAGGTTCCTGAACGCCGTTCTGATGTTAGCCAGCCTCGCATATGCCGCAGACGTTATTCTCTTTATGTGGGCTTCAGGAGACAGGTTTGGTGTGATATCAACTCCTAGATCTTTCTCTCTGTCTGTTTCATTAAGTACTTCATCTCCTATTCTGTATCCTGTGCCTGGCCTCCTGTTTCCACTGCCTAGTTTCATTACTTTGCATTTACTCGGGTTGAACTTCAACAGCCATTTGTTGGACCATTCACTCAGTCTATCCAGGTCATCTTGTAGCCTCCTACTATCATCCTCTGTTTCAATCCTCCTCATAATTTTTGCATCGTCGGCAAACATTGAGAGGAACGAATCTATACCTTCTGGGAGATCATTTACATATACCAGAAACAGTATAGGTCCAAGGACTGACCCCTGCGGGACTCCACTTGTGACGTCTCGCCAATCTGAGACCTCACCCCTCACACAGACTCGTTGTCTCCTGTTGCTTAGGTATTCCTCTATCCACCGGAGTACCTTCCCTCTCACTCCAGCCTGCATCTCCAACTTTCGCACTAGCCTCTTGTGTGGCACTGTATCAAAGGCTTTCTGACAATCCAAAAATATGCAGTCTGCCCACCCTTCTCTTTCTTGCCTTATTTTTGTTGCCTGGAAGTAGAATTCAAGTAACCCTGTGAGGCAGGACCTGCCATCCCTGAACCCATGTTGATGCTGTGTTACAAAGTTCCTTCGCTCCAGATGCTCCACTAGTTTTTTTCGCACAATCTTCTCCATCAGCTTGCATGGTATGCAGGTTAGGGACACTGGCCTGTAGTTCAGTGCCTCCTGTCTATCCCCTTTCTTGTATATCGGGACTACGTTAGCTGCTTCCAAGTATCTGGCAGTTCCCCTGTTGCCAGTGATTTGTTATACACTATGGAGAGTGGTAGGCTCAGTTCTCTTGCTCCTTCCTTTAGAACCCAAGGGGAGATTCCATCTGGGCCTATAGCCTTCGTCACGTCCAACTCTAGTAAACACTTCCTTACTTCCCCACTGGTAATCTCAAACTCTTCCAGTGGTTCCTGGTTAGCTATTCCCTCACTTACCTCTGGAATTTCTCCTTGTTCTAAGGTGAAGACCTCCTGGAATTTCTTATTCAATTCCTCACACACTTCGTGTGTGCGTGTGTGTGTGCGTGTGTGTGTGTGTGTGTGTGTGTGTGTGTGTGTGTGTGTGTGTGTGTGTTGTGTGTGTGTGTGTGTGTGTGTGTGTGTGTGTGTGTGTGTGTGTGTGTGTGTGTGTGTGTGTGTGTGTGTGTGTGTGTGTGTGTGTGTGTGTGGGTGTGTGTGTGGGTGTGTGTGTGTGTGTGTGTGTGTGTGTGTGTGTGTGTGTGTGTGTGTGTGTGTGTGTGTGTGTGTGGTGTGTGTGTGTGTGTGTGGGTGTGTGTGTGGGTGTGTGTGGGGTGTGTGTGTGTGTGTGTGTGGGGTGTGTGGGTGTGTGTGTGTGTGTGTGTGTGGGTTTGTGTGTGTGTGTGTGTGTGTGGTGTGGTGTGGGTGTGTGTGTGTGGTGTGTGTGTGTGAAATAAATTATACCAAAATTTCACAAAATGTAAAGTAAAATTAGTATATTATCTTCTCTTTCCTGAACTAATGATCAATTAAAGCCCTTTCACCGCTAACCTCCCAGCATGAGGCGCGGCAATATACCATCCTTGCCTACACGCTAAGCCAGCCTGCTCGCACGCCGCCCGTCCTCACGCCGCCCGTCCTCACGCCCGCCCGTCCACACGCCCGCCCGTCCTCACGCCCGCCCGTCCACACGCCCGCCCGTCCTCACGCCCGCCCGTCCTCACGCCCGCCCGTCCTCACGCCCGCCCGTCCTCACGCCCGCCCGTCCTCACGCCGCCCGTCCTCACGCCCGCCCGTCCACACGCCCGCCCGTCCTCACGCCCGCCCGTCCACACGCCCGCCCGTCCACACGCCCGCCCGTCCTCACGCCCGCCCGTCCTCACGCCCGCCCGTCCACACGCCCGTCCGTGCCCACGCCCGCCCGTCCTCACGCCCGCCCGTCCACACGCCCGCCCGTCCGCACGCCCGCCCGTCCACACGCCCGACCGTCCTCACGCCCGCCCGTCCTCACGCCCGCCCGTCCACACGCCCGCCCGTGCCCACGCCCGCCATTATAGCCCCCACAGTAAACACAAGACATGCGCACGGCAGGGGTTACACCTTGTTATGTGGCCATAACCAAACACTGGAGCTTATTAAGTCTCCCGCGGAACAATTAAGTCATTATTTTGGTAGTTAGTACATGAGTCTCTAACGACCAAGATAAGGCAACGAACCGGAAACTGGCCATGGGATGACAGCAGTTCCTAACCCTTTTATAGCAACACAAACTTGTAGGTGCTGGATAATAAACCATTTACGCAACCACTAACGAAACCGGTGCATCATTCTTTACATAACGGTTTTGTTTGCATTTACTAAATATTTTAGGAGCTTCGAAACTTCACAAGTCAAGGTAATTATTCTTTTAAACAACCTCATAATTCCTCGGAGCTCATAAACAAATTAACACATCTAAACAAAGCCGCCATGATTATGGAAAGATGTACAGGTTTCGTAAGTGACTCCTGCCATGCCATCTGGGCATGGCAGGATGTGCAGAATACCCCAATTCAAGAACAGAGGTGCAACAGGTACTCTGAGAGAGAACTATCAACATCAGAGGCCCCAGACTGTTCAACACGCTTCCACTACACATAAGGGGCATAACTGGCCGACCCCTCACAGTGTTCAAGAGAGAACTTGACAAGCACCTCCAAAGGATACCTGATCAACCAGGCTGTGACTCATACGTCAGGCTGCGAGCAGCCGCGTCAAACAGCCTGGTTGACCAGTCCAGCAACCAGGAGGCCGCGGGGACGTTGATCCTCAGAATCAACATATAGGAAGGTAGCCTTTCTGAATTTTTGGGAAAATGTGTTCAAGACATATTAGATCACGTACGTGAGACCAATATTCGAGTATGTAGCGCTGATGGGGTGTCCTATTCTGCCCCCCCCCCCCCAAAAAAAAAAAAAAAAAAAAAAAAAAAACGGGAGCAGTTTATTACAGGTTCGACCCGGTAGTTAAGAGAAAGAACTATGAGGACAGGCTGAGAGAACTTTATATGACAACACTGGAAAAGATAATCGTGATGTGACATGGTAGCGATATACAAGATACTTAATAGAGTAGAAAAAATGAGATGCACGGAATTCGACACTGTAGAACGAGGAGGCAAAGTAAGTAAGTAATTATCAATAGAAGGCACCAAACCGGGAAGGCTATGTAGCACCATCACGAGGAGGCAAAGACAGACTCTGAAGAGCTAAATGAACCATAAAAATGAGAGGAAAATTTCCCTCAGAGTTGTGAACTAACGGAATGAACTAGGAAACATGAACAAACCAAAGGTAGATAAGAACTGAGTGAATAGTCAATGTAATAGACGACCGACAGCTGGAAAGGAAGGGCCCAGGAGCTGAAATTCGACCCTGTAAACTCAAATTAGCAAGAACACAGACGCACATACATGGAATAAGCCAGAATGGAAGCTGGTAGAGGATAATTCTATTAGCAGGCATAAGAGAAACCTTGATAAGGAGGTTATCTTAAGGTTATCTTGAGATGATTTCGGGGCTTTAGTGTCCCCGCGGCCCAGTCCTCGACCAGACCTCCACCCCCAGGAAGCAGCCCGTGACAGCTGACTAACACACCCAGGTACCTATTTTACTGCTAGGTAACAGGGGCATAGGGTGAAAGAAACTCTGCCCATTGTTTCTCGCCGGCGCCCGGGATCGAACCCGGGACCAAAGGATCACAAGTCCAGCGTGCTGTCCGCTCAGCCGACCGGCTCCCTTAAGGAAGTTCATCCCAATTCACAACTAATAGGTAAAAGGCGGAACCAGAAGCTAGAGCTCAATTCCCACAATCGTCGCTACCTAAGAACAGGTAGACAAGGTTGGAGCACAGATACAATCACCCAACTACACACAATATCAGCCTCGTCTGTCATCAACTCAATCACCTTCTTGATCACTGACTTGATGAAGAGGGTGCACGCACGCACGCACTCACGCACACACACACACACACACACACACACACACACACACACACACACACACACACACACACACACACACACACACACATACACACACACACACACACACACCACCCTCACCCACTCTTGAATACAACTAACAGTTTAAGAGTCGGCGCCCAGGAACTGAAGCGCGACTTTGCCATCCAAACAGCTGCAGCGTCCATCAGCCTGCGGGCGCAACATTCCCTCACAACCGCTCATAACATTCCCTCACAACCGCTCATAACATTCCCTCACAATCGCTCATAACATTCCCTCACAACCGCTCATAACATTCCCTCACAATCGCTCATAACATTCCCTCACAACCGCTCATAACATTCCCTCACAACCGCTCATAACATTCCCTCACAATCGTTCATAACATTCCCTCACAATCGCTCATAACATTCCCTCACAATCGCTCATAACATTCCCTCACAACCGCTCATAACATTCCCTCACAATCGCTCATAACATTCCCTCACAACCGCTCATAACATTCCCTCACAATCGCTCATAACATTCCCTCACAATCGCTCATAACATTCCCTCACAATCGCTCATAACATTCCCTCACAACCGCTCATAACATTCCCTCACAATCGCTCATAACATTCCCTCACAACCGCTCATAACATTCCCTCACAATCGCTCATAACATTCCCTCACAATCACTCATAACATTCCCTCACAATCGCTCATAACATTCCCTCACAATCGCTCATAATATTCCCTCACAATCACTCATAACCATCCCTCACAACCAATTACTATTTGGGTGATATATAATGCACTCGTATAATGCATCTTGGTATATAATCTAAGCGACTTCATGTCAGTGGTTCTATAATTTTGTCTAGGCCTATCTGCTTCTTCAGGTGACAGCCAGGCCTATCTTGAGGTTATCTTGAGATGATTTCGGGGCTTTAGTGTCCCCGCGGCCCGGTCTTCGACCAGGCCTCCACCCCCAGGAAACAGCCCGTGACAGCTGACTAACTCCCAGGTACCTATTTACTGCTAGGTAACAGGGGCATTCAGGGTGAAAGAAACTTTGCCCATTTGCTTCTGCCTCGTGCGGGAATTGAACCCGCGCCACAGAATTACGAATCCTGCGCGCTATCCACCAGGCTACGAGGCCTAGGGTAATATTTTCAAGTTCTGTCGTTATCAGTAAAGACTGGAATTATTACATCAATTTGTGTAATTAGTTGCCTTGATTTGTCTACTTTCGTTACTTCTTTCTACTTTATTATGGTTACATTGTACGAGAGACGGGTTGACAAAGCTCATTTTAGACGGTGGTGGTGGAGGGTGGTGGTGGAGGGTGGTGGTGGTAGAGAGTGGTGGTGGTGGTGGTGGTGGTGGTGGTGGTGGTGAGGGTGGTAGTGGTGGTGGTGGTGGAAGAGGGTGGTGGTGGTGATGGTGGTGGTGATGGTGGTGGTGGTGGTGGTGGTGGTAGAGGGTGGTGGTGGTGGTGGTGGTGGTGGTGGTGGTGGTGGTGTGGTGGGTGGTGGTGGTGGTGGTGGTGGTGGAGGGTGGTGGTGGTAGAGGGTGGTGGTGGTGGTGGTGGTGGTGGTGGAGGGTGGTGGTGGTAGAGGGTGGTGGTGGTGGTGGTGGTGGTGGTGATGGTGGTGGTGGAAGAGGGTGGTGGTGGTGATGGAGGTGGTGGTGATGGTGGTGGTGGTGGAAGAGGGTGGTGGTGGTGGGTGGTGGTGATGGTGGGTGGTGGTGGTGGTGGGTGGTGGTGGTGATGGGTGGTGGTTAGTGGGTGGTGGTGGTGATAGTGGTGATGGTGGTGGTGGTGGTGGTAGTGGTGAAAGTGGTAGAGGGTGGTGGTGGTGGTGGTAGTGGTGAAAGTGGTAGAGGGTGGTGGTGGTGGTGGTGGTAGTGGTAGTGGTGGTGGTAGAGGGTGAGGGTGGTGGTGGTGGTGGTAGTGGTGGTGGTAGTGGTAGTGGTGGTAGTGGTGGTGGTAGAGGGTGAGGGTGGTGGTGGTGGTGGTAGTGGTGGTGGTGGTGGTAGTGGTGGTGGTGGTGGTAGTGGTAGTGGTGGTGGGTACTGGTGGTAAGAGACTGGTATTTATTTATTCAATTAATTCTAACAGCACTGCTTGGCATTAATTAATCACAATCCACCAGCCATACAAACACCCAAGTATCAACCACACACAATCACCTAGCACCACAGCCAATCAACAAACACCACAAACATCACACTGACCCGTTATTGTGTTTTTGAAATACAAACAAACTCTGCATTCAACAACGACCCTTACGCCAATCCCAACTTACACAACTAATCATTAACCACACATTTATTCAGTAAGCTAATTTCTCCCCGAACCGCCCGTACTCATCTAGCAAATTAACCAACTAACCCGTAAGTAAAGCAGCCTTTAAACTTTCCTGATCCAATCATGCGGATAAACTAATTTATCTCCGTTGACAAAATAAGTTGGCATGATTGCTTATCTCTCTCGACAAGTTTCTGCAGTTCTTTGAATTCATCAATTTGCAGAGTTTCCGCTCGTTGCGCTCTCGTAGCTCCCTTAACTGTTGCCAATGTTAAGGTTCCGTTAACCATATACACTTACAATTCGATTAACTGTTGCACACGCAAGTTCCGTTAACTGTTGAATTTTCAAATTCAGTTAACTTGTTGAATTTTCAAATTCAGTTAACTTTTGAATTTTCAAATTGAGTTAACTGTTGAATTTTCAAATTCAGTTAACTTGTTGAATTTTCAAATTCAGTTAACTTTTGAATTTTCAAATTGAGTTAACTGTTGAATTTTCAAATTCAGTTTACTGTTGAATTTTCAAGTTATGTTAAGTGCTGCTAGTTAAAAGTTTTCTTAACTGTTGCTTCTTAAAGCTTTCATATCTTTTCCACTCCGGAAAATATATACCAAATACTGTCCATCCACTTGGGCTGGACGGTAGAGCGACGGTCTCGCTTAATGCAGGTCGGTGTTCAATCCCCAACTGTCCAAGTGGTTGGGCACCATTCCTTCCCCCCGTCCCATCCCAAATCCTTATTCTGACCCCTTCCCAGTGCTAT